TCCAAGTACTTGACACGGTAGTGTTCCACTTTGCCTTGGAAGCAGACGCATAGTGTATAGTCGCCTGGGAAGTTAGTCGATTCGCGTACTAAAAATAGGCCATCCTCGCGAGGCTGCAACAGGTGTTCGGCTTCGTCGCGTGTTATGCTGCCATGAAACCAACTATCAAAATAGAAAGTGAGTTGAGTGTGAGCAATAGAAAATTAAATATTTGAATGGTGAACAATTTAGAGCTTCACATCAAAACGAAATAAGCGGCAAGTACACATACGGTAATTTCACAATTGACTGTACTGTAGGTTTTTTTGTACGTTTTCTACAATATTTTGTTATTATAGATGGGGGCCCCATTATTTGGTTTGGTGCTGATTCTATGCTTCGTCACCAAATATGAGCTTATAAGAAAACGAATTGTTGCACTTCGTTCCTCGTGGCACTAAATTTGTTATTTTAGCTTCTGCAATTTGAGTTTTTGTTTTGCGTTTGTGTTTGCAAATGCAGATAAGATAAGAGTAAAGCAATACAAAACATAAACAGATAACACCGAACTATGTTAACAAAGCTGAAGCAGGCCGTCAGTTGCTTTTGGTGTTTATATGAGCTTAAAACAAGTCGCGTGCCTGATGTATAGAATTTCGAGTTAATTAAATATCATTACTTTGNAATTTGAGTTTTTGTTTTGCGTTTGTGTTTGCAAATGCAGATAAGATAAGTGTAAAGCAATACAAAACATAAACAGATAACACCGAACTATGTTAACAAAGCTGAAGCAGGCCGTCAGTTGCTTTTGGTGTTATATGAGCTTAAAACAAGTCGCGTGCCTGATGTATGAAATTTCGAGTTAATTAAATATCATTACTTTATCGAAAGAGTTATTAAAGGTTTATGTACAGAGACATGTCAGATTAAAGCTAGCAATTTAAATACTGTTTATTCGATTTCAACGGCTGAAACAGATTAAATTTATAAATGTCATACTGATAAGAACATACATACATATGTATGTAATTAAGAAGGTCACGCTTTTCGTGGTAATAACACTTGGAAATTTATAATTTCATACGGCAAATTGGCAGTTTTATACAGCAAGCCTCGTATTAAGACACCAGCGCTCATTTAAATTTTATTAACTATCAATNTTGTTATTTTAGCTTCTGCAATTTGAGTTTTTGTTTTGCGTTTGTGTTTGCAAATGCAGATAAGATAAGTGTAAAGCAATACAAAACATAAACAGATAACACCGAACTATGTTAACAAAGCTGAAGCAGGCCGTCAGTTGCTTTTGGTGTTATATGAGCTTAAAACAAGTCGCGTGCCTGATGTATGGAATTTCGAGTTAATTAAATATCATTACTTTATCGAAAGAGTTATTAAAGGTTTATGTACAGAGACATGTCAGATTAAAGCTAGCAATTTAAATACTGTTTATTCGATTTCAACGGCTGAAACAGATTAAATTTATAAATGTCATACTGATAAGAACATACATACATATGTATGTAATTAAGAAGGTCACGCTTTTCGTGGTAATAACACTTGGAGATTTATAATTTCATACGACAAATTGGCAGTTTTATACAGCAAGCCTCGTATTAAGACACCACCGCTCATTTAAATTTTATTAACTATCAACTGCATTTCGTTTACTTACGGCATTGCGTTCAGCTTCACTTCGCACTTCCGTTGCGGCTGAATATGGTGTTGATTAACGCCGCCAGCCATAGCGTTGGTGGGTGAGTGCAACGATGCGGCTGCTGCATTGGAATTACTCGACCAGGCATTGGCCGCCACACCACCACCATTTAAATCGAAACTATGCAATGATGTAGACATGCTAGTCGCACCTATGCCTGAGCTGCCACCAACACCAACACCGCCACTGCCACCAGCAGTGTTGAGCGATATCGCCGATTGCGTTTGCTGTTGACTGCTCGAGAGCGATGAGGGCGCTTGCGCTTGGTGTAACAGCATGTTGCTGCCGTGTAGTGCGCCGCCTAGGCCAGCAACAATGGCGCCACTTTTCGGCGGTAGACCGCGTTCGTGCAACGATAGTGCGGCGCTATGTTGTGCCGCATTCAATGAAGACGACATAAGATTGTTGTTGCTATTGCTGGAAGCATTGCCTAGAAGCTGCAAATGCTGTTGTTGTTGCTGTTGCGTTACGGCAGCCACTGCAGCGGCTGTCACACCCCCCGTGGCGGGCGCGCAATTGCCACCACTGACAGCGGATGGTGGCGCAAAGGTGGATAAGATGTGTGTGTGTGTATGTGTATGTGGCTGTGCCGCTGAGCCAGTTAATTGCGATGCCTGCTGCTGCTGATGATGATGCTGTTGCTGCTGTTGTTGTTGCTGATTGGGTGATTTTGGTGAATGATTGGCGCCGGTTGCAACTGATATTAAATTATGACTATTAAGTGCATGCGAGGACAAGTGGATTGGATTGTGGTGTTGGTTCTGCAATAAGAAAGGAAATAAAAGATGAACAAAAAAAAAACAAACAAACAAATGCAAGACGAAATGACTTTTATTTCTATAATTACCACGTTATTGTGATGGTGCNGAGGACAAGTGGATTGGATTGTGGTGTTGGTTCTGCAATAAGAAAGGAAAAAAAAGATGAATAAAAAAACAAAAAAACAAACAAATGCAAGACGAAATGACTTTTATTGCTATAATTACCACGTTATTGTGATGGTGTGGCGGTATATTTGGCGGTACAATATGCGGCTGCGATTGGCTTAGTTGCTGCTGATGCAACAAACTGACGCCTACGCTGCCAGCATTCGCTATACCGACGCCACTCGCGCCTCCGCCGCCACCACCTACGCCGATGCCAATGCCGCCTAAGCCGCCGCCCACACCGCCGTGATTCGGTTGCGGCGCGGGACGTTTATTGTGTCGTAAAGGCGCTGTGGGCGGCATTTGATGCCCGGTGGATTGTAAGAACCATGGATCGCCTGCTGAATTGGCCGCCACTGTCACGGATGGTTGCGAGAAGCCGCGATGATGACCGACCACTGTTGTTTGTCCGCTATGCTGAGTCGCTGTGGCGTGACTGCTCATAACTTTATTGCAGCTCGCTTTCGGCGAGATTGAAGATGCGGACGACGACGACGACGACGCCGGCGTGGCAGCCGTTGACGTCGTTGACGCTATACCACTCGCTAGTGGACTCGGTGTAGGTGTGCCCGCAGCGGTGTTTGAAACAGCCGATTGTCCACGCGCGGCGCCAGTAGCACTTGTTGTTAAAGTGTGTGATGCAGTTGTGACTGCGCTGATTACGGGATCGTTGTGAGAATTGATGCAGTGAACGTGCGGTGTAGCAACAATACGTTTGCTATTGTTGCTTTTGTGGCTGTGGCTGCTCTTGCTATTGCGGCCACTCAGTTGCTGCCACTGTTTAAGCTGCTGCAGCTGTTCGGTTTGAGGTGCGTTTGGCTTTTGCTGAGTTGTTGAGGTTACTTTGGTCGTTGGTGTTGTTAGAGTTGCAATTGGTGTTTTGTTGTTTGTTGATGTTGCGGCGGTTGTGGCAGTCGCAGTTGTTTCGCTTGTGCTACGGAGGGAGATTAAAGCTGCTGCTGCTGTTGTTTTTGCTGTTGTGCTGGTGTGGTTTACGCCACTATCAGGCAGTTGTTGTAGCTGTTTGTGTTCTCTTTGTCCCCTTTTCGACTGTGGACATTTCAAGTCATTTGCTGGCTGTTTATTCTCTTTCGAAATTAACGATTCCTCATCTATAAAACAAACAGAAAAAACAGTTANTTTTTTTTGGTATAAGAAATCTATTTATTCAGTAATATTTTTCTTAAAACTTCAACCAAAGGGCGCAACAGTGAGCATTTTCACATTTTCTTGCAAACCTATTTCCGAAATTTGGCAAACGCTAAAATCCATGGTTTCTTCGGCAAAGTAGAACCCGCATGGTGAAAAAAAAATGTATACGCCCTAATGTACATGTATTTGAAAATAAACCACAATTCCGGCGCTCGTTTCAGAGTCAACTGACAGCGTAGCTGGAGCTGAGCCAGTGCCAACCAACGATCAGCAGCGCGCGCGGCAGCTGCGCAATAGCAACGTGATAATAAAATTTCAAGTTCAAATGCGAATTTTCTGTGCTTTTGTTATATTACTGTTTGTTAGCTAGTTTCTTGTTTTTTTTTTTGTGTGTGTTTATTTAGCGTCAATTTGATTCACGTTTTTAAATTAATTCAAATTAATGCCGTAGTTGAAATTCTGTTTACGCTAGTGATTAGCTGTGCGCGCACCATAT